AGGAAGGAAGGGAGATGGGAAGGATAGGCCAGGACCAGCCTTGAAGACTCCTCATTTGTATATAGATACATATATTTCTTTAGTGAGCACTAGTGAGCTCACAAATGCTTTGCACCGGGTTATCTATGTGTGTAAAACGAGTATGAAATCTACTTTAAAATGGTTAAAGCGAAAGGAATAGGTAAGCTTTTGTTCTGAATATAATCGTGGTGGTTTAATTCCAGGACATGGCCTTTCATTATCAAAAGCCCCAAGCAGTATAAAAACCTTTCTTTCATGGATGCAATGAATAAGTTTAAATGGACTAAAAAGGAAGGGCTGTCCTTCAACAAGCTGGTCCTGAGCCTGCCCGTGAACGTGAGGTGTTCCAAGACAGACAATGCGGAGTGGTCGGTAAGCCCTGCCTTCTTTAGACCTCTGAGATCCTGGATGTAATAGTTTACCTGAATCCACAACGGGAAAATCTAAGGATCAGACACAAGTCTGTAAATCCAGTGGTCGGGTCGTCCTTAGATGGGGCTGATTGTTTTAGTTACTTTTCTCACTGCTGAGACAAAATACCCAACACTCACAGTCAAAAGCAGGCAAGTTTACGTCAGCTCACAGCTTTTAGAGGTTATGATTCAGAGTCGGCTGCCCCAAAGCAGAGGAGAAACAGTCCATGGCTTGGTGGGGCAGGCGGAAGGCAGTGAAGCAAGCGGAGCTCAGCCCCAGGCGCCCTCTTTGTGTCCCTTCCGTTCCACCAGGCTCTCTGCCCTTCGGGCAGGCAGCACTCACACCCAGGGTGGGGCACCCTTAACCCCAGCACCACACACTCTGGATCCAGCCGCCTCCGCGAAGCCCCACCGGTGACCACCTGAGGCTTGGAGGAGACATCTAGATTCAAGCTGCAGCGCTGGTCATTGTCCAGTGACCATGAGTTGACTACAAACTGACCCCTGAAAGCGTCCCTTGAAGAAAGAAATTTATCCTAAAGCTAAGGTGTGATAGAGCAGGAAGAGAGTGGGCTGAGAGCTTAAAAATAAAGCCCCAAGCCAGCTCTGTAGCTTCTCCTCCAGCCCGCCTCCCTGCCTCTCCTGATGCTTGACTCCCTCCGCTCCTGTCCCTGCTGCGTTGGTTTCTTGCAGACGCGGAGGTGGCCCGCTCTTAAATCGCACACTCATCCGCATTCTCTGCTCCTTCCCTTGCAGATCCAGGGAATGACGGCCTCACCCCCCGACGTAGAAAGGCCATACAGAGCCGACCCTCTGGTGTGCAGAGCGTCCTCCTCCTCCGCCCCGCACGGAAGCCTGTCTCTCGCGCTGCTCCTGTGCGTTCTCCTGCTCAGCGGCGCGCTGAGCACCCAGTGCTTGTGATCACAGTACTGCTGTACTTGGTGACCGCATTTCCTGTGGTCTGAGTCTGCCGTTTCAAGCACAGATCAGAGACGGTCCCCTTGCGGCGTGAAGAGCGCGGAGACTTAGTTTTGTACCCTGCTTCCCTCCCCGCCCCCGTTCCCTCTCTACCCGAGAGACACCACCTCTGCTCTTGTCGGTGAGCAGCCCTGACTTTGGTGTTTTTAAAGATACCCACTCTGGCTTATCCGAGTCTGTTCGTGACCCCAGACCATCCACACCCGTCATGAAGTACGCTTACCCCTCTTGTGCTCAGTACTGGGAGGTTAAGTTTCTTTCTGAAATTCTGTCACTGTCTACAAGGAAAGAGGTTATGAGCAATGCAGAAATGGTAGTCCTCAGTTGGAGACAGAAGAAAGTATAACTGGCTGTGCGCTCCACGCCTGGGATTCCACGCCTGGGATTCCACGCTGTGAGATTCCACCCGTGAGATGCCACCCGTGAGATTCCACACCTCGGATTCCACGCCTGGGATTCCACGCCAGTGCAGAGTGAGAGAGCCCGGCCAGGAAGCAGGAAGTGCGTGCCGCTCCTCACCAGCCGCACTGGGTTTGCACACGTGCTGCAAACTTGCCCGTTTGAGTCATCGTTCTCATTGCAGATTTATTTTTATATTAGTTCATAAACTAACTTTGAATGTAAGATCACCACCCATGGAAACTTCTGTCACCCCTTTGGTTCTCTTAGTAGAATTCAGCCATGGCTTGCTTTATGTCCTATCTTCATTTTTTAAGCTAAATCCATTTGGATCATATTAGTAAACTAAACAAAATGAAATTTTTGTGTAGCATCTTATGCACTCTAGAGAAGCAAGCAGTTCCATCGATGTGGTCAATGAAATCGATCGAGAATTTACATTTTTCTATTCTACTTGTAAGCCCTTTCTGTCCCAAAACAATGTCTTCAACATAAACTATATTGTCTTTTAATAAATGTTATGTTTTGGAATGTTTCCTTCTTGATAGAAATTGTACATTTGATGAAAAGTTTGAAACATCTATGAGATGTATTTTACATTTAACTTTATATTTCCTTTTATTGTATAAGTGCTGTATCAGATTCAGTGATTTTCTTTTCAAATTTTTGTCTGAGGAATATGGTCATCCCCCACACACCATATTTGAAATTTCATCTGTATTTTTACTTAAGAACTTCTACATCCAAGATGTAAAAGTCAGATGATTTCCACTGGAAATTAAGGAATATTTATCTTGGTTGCTCTCGGTGTGGAAGGTAAACTCACCAACTAGACAAGGGCAGAAAGCTTTGAAAACTTGTCTTTGGGCAGTCAGCCAAAGGCAGGCTTCTGTTTGTCCACTGCTGTTACTGAGAAGGAAGTCAGAATGCTTACACTCCCGGGAATTCACAGGAGAATTCACAGGAGTGCGTACGGCTTAGAGGAATTAGCTCTTTATCTGAAATTAGGTTGTGCTCTCTGTTGGGAATTCTGTGGGAATTTGATTATGTTCTGTATAGGCTGCTTGCTGTGGTACTGAGCAAGAGGCCAGGTGTCTTGGTTACTTTTCTCTCGTTGCTGGGACAAAATACCTGAGGCCCAAAATTAAGGAAGGAAAGGTTTATTTCGCTTACAGTTTGTGGAGGTTTCAGTCCATACTTGGCAGGTTACAAGGCAGAGTGGCACATGGCAGAGGGCTACAGCTCATGGCGGCAGAACACAGCAAAAGCAACAAGCACACAGGGAGGAATGGCCGCAAGCAGCCTCTTCCTCTCCCTTACATATGCAAACTTCCACCCCAGGGCGGGTGTAGCTCTCACACCCCTAATCAATCAAACTCTAGAAGCCTGCCCCATGACTGCATGAGGCTTTGGGGGGACACACAGACACAAACCATAACACCGGGCTTCTCATAGATCCTTCCTCACAGAGGCCCACTTGCTGCCTTAGATCAAGTCATAGGGCTTTCCACGGCCTCCAGGCAGGAGGGTTGAAGCCTGAGGGAGAACCGCCTCTACCTGGATGCTGCTCCCTTGTCTGGCCTTCAGGTCCCAGGAGGGGTGAATACCGACTTCACTTCCAGAGAAACCAGCATTTATGGAGGCTAAGGGAACTTGGGTGATCATTTTTTCTGAAGGGGGCCCAGGCAGGATCTAAAGAATCCTAGCAGTGATGAATGATGCAGTCAGCAGAGGCCGAGGTGTTAAGAACTCTAAACCTGGTCTTAGTGGCCTCAGGAGAGAGGGAGAAGGAGCGAGTTGGATGCGGTGTAGAATTGCACTGCACGGTTTGCTCAGCCAAGTTCTTACTATGGGGCATGAAGACCATTTCTAGTTTTTCAGTGTGATAAGCAACGCTGATGACCATTCTTAGGATGAACGTTCTCCGATCTCTAAATATTCCGCTACAACTAAGTTACTGTAAAAGGAAATATAGAAGCAATTATATATATTTTCAAGAATTTTGATAGCTATTCCTAGTCATCTTCCACTTATCCTCAAATGGTTCAGAAAAAGAACCCCTTTCTGTATTTACGGATCCTCCCTCTAGAGTGATTATTTAAGTATGTTAAAATGATAACATGGAAGAGTTTGGATGAAGGACGTGAGCTCCTTGTACCATATTTTTTCGCAATTTTTTTTCCTCTTTTTTGAGACAGGATCTCGCTATGCAGTTCAGGCTGGCCTTGAGCTCACTTTGTAGCCCTGGTCTTGAACTCACAGCAATCCTCCTGCCTCAGCCTCCCAAGTGCTGGGATAGTTTGAAATTACTCCAACAGGAAAAGTGCTGTAAACCCAATCCATATCTGAAAGGATCCAGCTACAGGAAATCATTCTGAGCTGGTTTTCTTCCCTGCAGGGGAGACCTCCGCTTGGGGTGCAGAGAAAGAGGGTAGGTAGTGATTACACTCAGCAGATGCCCCCAGGAAAGGGTGAGGATGGCGGGCCGGGGAGTCAGCTTTCCATCACTGCGGCAAAATGCCTGAAATACCCGGCTTACAAGGAAGAGGAAGCTGTTTTTGGTTCATCGCTTCTGTCCATGACACCTTGTCCGAGTGGCACTTGGCCTGTGGTGAGGCTGTTCCTCAGGGTAGAAGCTGGTAGAAACCATGGCAGGAGAGGAAACCTGCTCACCTTCTGGCAGCTGGGAGGCAAAAGAGCGAGGACAGAGGTGGGACCCAGTGCCCTCTTCCGGAGCCTGTCCGCCGAATAGGCCCACCGCAGCACCTTTCACTGCCCCACAGAGAGCTGAGTCCACGACAAGACAGAGAATCTAAACACTGTTACAGAGTGAAAAAGGTGGCGTGCAGAACTTCTCAGAGTCTCTCATGCAGGGGTGCACGTTTGCAAATCCGAGGGAAGTTGCCTAGAATAAAACAAGTCCCGGACACTGACCGCTGTGCCCTCTTGCGGTGCAGCAACGGCTACGGGGAACAAACAGAAGCAGCATCTCTCGAGCAGAGAATGTCCACATTTCTGTAACAAATTTCCTGAAGCTTCCAAACTGTTCACAGGCAGCTACAAATCACAGCTCAACAGACACAGGCCTTCCACTTGGGTGCATTGGTCTGTGCTTTATTTACTGCCCTGTCTTTTTAACAAATGAATAATCAGCGTTTAATTTAAACTGAGTTGTAGGATTTACATAGAGAAAAACATGTACCCTTTCTAAAAACAGGATATGCTAAAATTAATTATATGCCACAAATAGTGAAACACTTGAAGCAATATTGTCAGATGAAGCTAAATATCTTTGGAAAGTTTCAATCCTATAGGTTCAGACTACTTTCATCCAATGAGTAATTTTGGTCCTCAAGAGAAGGCTAAATTTTAAATAACATTTTGTTTCCCAATAATAGGAAGAAAAAACAAAGGCCACAAACTTCATGAAACCATGAAGTCTGAGGTGACTTTCACCAGTCATAACTTTTTCACCTTCTTTCTGTCTTCCATTATTTAGAGCAAAATATTTCCAATGACCTGTTTGGTCTTCTTTGTGTGACTGAATTGATGATCTCATACGAAACTGGAACTATGAGTATAATTGTTTTTTTTGTTAGACTTCCATTCACTGTTTTTTGTTTTTTTAGCCTTTCTGAGACAGGGCCTCACTATGCAGTTCAGGCTGGCCTTGAACTCACTTTGTAGCCCAGGCTGGCCTCGAACTCACAGGGATCCTCCTGCCTCAGCCTCCCAAGTACAGGGATTACAGGTGTGTGCCACCATGTCTAGGCTCCATTCACTGTTCTTTGATTAACAAAAGTGTAAGCACCTTGTAGCCCCAACCTAAGGTTTATTTAATGAAGACAATTTTTTCCAGCTTCTTTTAAAGAATTTTTATTAGTACATGTTTGCAGCATGTAACTGCATTCACTGTGGGGAGTCGGTACACATACAAAACACACGTTCATTCATTTTTCATCCCCCCATTCTGGCCCCTTCCCTTCCCAAAGATCTATGATGTCTGCAATGGAACTGAGGTACTACGGGAAAAATGTGAAATTGGAGGACAATAAACTTCAGGATACAAGTCTGGCTGGAAGTGAGCCCATTTCCCCTACAACCTAGTAAATATTGTTGTATAAGTATTGTCATGCATTTACACGATGTTTTGGAATTTGCTAAGTGGTTTCACAATATTTCTCACTTAATGCATAAAACTACTGTTCCAAATAAACCCTGATATCCGGAAACCCGAAGTGCGCACGTACTGCGATGATTGTGACAGCCCTCAGATACAATCACCTTACAAAGTCCATGTTTCTGAGTTATACTGAAATTGCCGAGTGAAGGACACCTATTCGAGGGAATACTGGATCTGACTGAGTTTTGCAATCTCTCGAGGAAAACGCCTTCGTGACTGGTCACGTGCTTCCTGGGCGTGGGGTCGCCTACTTCTGAAAAGGGAGGAGGTTATGCTGCGCTCCTCTCTTTCCTCTTGGAATCTGTCTGCACTCATTTAAATTTATGGAAGTTCAGCTTTAAACTGCGCCCATGCACCTTTCTTCGTTCTTATGATCAGCTTTTTGTGCAGAGAGCGCTACATTTTGGGTCTACTTTTAATGCTTCTTGAGACTTTTTTCCTTCTTGTTTAATGCCTCTTCACCTTCACCAGTCCACAAGTTGCTTCCTCTTTCCTGAGTACGTCTAGGAAAGCAGACTTTCCCGCTTAATCCTACTATGTAAAATGATATTCCATTCACTGACGGTAAGGAGAGACCTAAGAAATAAAAAAGGTGAGAGCTGAGGATTTGTAGGGAACGAGGAAAATGCTTCTCTCCCGAGGCCACGAGAGGGCGCCTGGTCTCGTGAGTAAATCCCGCCAAAGCTGGGTCAGGCCGTGGAGGTGCCGGGCTCGGCTAAGAACCGGCCTTCGCCTTTCTCAGCTCGGATCCCGCTTACCTCCTTGGGGGAAAGGTAATACTTTTGTGTTTGCTAATTCCAAATTCAAATGACTTATGGGTAAGTATTTTTGGAAAGGTTTAGCTGTAAGATTAAAATTTAAATCTTAATATTTTACTATGGTGATTCTGTCTCTTTTGTAAACATTTCCAAATAATTATTTTCCTATAGCTTGTATTTTATACTTTATTTTTCTATTTTGGAATTATTTATATCTGTATCTTCCTGTTCTCTTAGAGCACATTTTAAAATTTTATTTTATTATTTTATTTTATTTTATTTTATTTTTTATTTTTCCAGTACCAGGAATCAAACTCATGACCTTGCACTAGCCAGGCAGGCGCAGTGCCACTGAGCTAAATCCCCAGTCCCTAAAATTTTAATTCCTGTATCCTGATCTGGTTGTCTTAACCATTGCTGGCAAAGTCTATTATTTAGCCCATCCATTCTCTCCGTTTTTGAAAGATGTGCTTCTTCGCTTTAGGCGTAGCTGAGGAAGGACTGAAGTGGGACCAGGAGCCGTGCTGGGGGTGCTCTTTGCAAAGGAGTTTTTCCCCCTGAGAACTTCATGAATGTACACCCCTGGCTTCCTGCAAAGGTTTTCCA